TATTTTGTTACACAAAATCAAAACAATCTAAAAATAGTTTATTCGAGATTAACAAACCTGTTTAAACAGGATTATCAGATCTGTAGATCTATAGATTGCTTCTAGAATATACTGTTAAAAATGGAACGTTATAGCGTAAGTTGTTTATTAAAATAACAGTATATACTGTAAAGCTTTTCAAGGTTTAGAATTTACTTGTAGTCTTTTTAAAGTTGATCGACTTTTGGCTAGAACTTATATATCAGGTAAAGCTAGTACATTATATCAACAAATAGTTGAAGTTATTAATAACTTTTTATGGTGATTTTTTATTAGTGAAACGTTATGTTCTCAAAAGTACATTAACATTAACCAATAATACGAAGTACTTTCTTTATAAACTTCTAAAAGGAAATAGAGCGCGGATTATAATCCTCCCGGCATGGAATCAAAACAAAAAGAAATGAAAGTTACGATAGTGTTATAATTTGTTTCTATAACCTCTAATCTTCTAAGAATATCTGCATATTTTATTTATTTTATACTAGGCTCCCAAGTATCCAACGTCGTAAATACCAAATCCCAGATTACAAATAATTTGGGGTTTTTACTTTGAAAATGATCGTATAGGATATAATAATTACTATAGGGTCCGTATTGTTTCATCAACAATCACTTCATAGACACCACATTTCACAGACAATTATTCATCGACAAATTCATTTTACCGACAGTCTATTTCACCGAAGCTCATTTCACTGGCAAGTTTTTTTTTTATAAATTACACTACTTTAACTCTAGTTCTAACCTAACTCTAATGATATTAACCAGAATTACTTGTCTGTAAAATGAGCTTCGGTGAAATGAAATAAACTTGTCGGTAAGTAATTGTCAGTGAAATGTGGTGTCTACGAAGTTATTGTCGGTGAGTTGATGGATCCCTTACCCAATACCTTCTTATTCGCATTGATTTAATCTGTGAATATCGTTAATCGGTAAAATTAATCCATAAATACATATCACTCATTCGTATTAATTTAATATGTAAGTATAAAACATGAACATAAAATACTAGTTCATAAATACTTATCTCTAAATACTTATTTTCAATTGATTATATTATACCTATAGTTGTTAGACGAAACCTTTTTTGCTTGATGATGAAAGTCGAAACCTAAGCTCTAGATGACGAAACCTCTGTCGAAAGTTGAAACCTCGAAACCCTTAAATCCTTATGATGAAAGTTGAAACCCAAAACTTAAACTGACAAAACCTTAGTGCTCCCACTAAAAAAAAAAAAAAAAAGTGAATATTACTAAAAACCCAAACCCGGGATCCCATCAACTCACCGACAATAACTTCGTAGACACCACATTTCACTGACAATTACTTACCGACAAGTTTATTTCATTTCACCGAAGCTCATTTTACAGACAAGTAATTCTGGTTAATATCATTAGAGTTAGGTTAGAACTAGAGTTAAAGTAGTGTAATTTATAAAAAAAAAACTTGCCAGTGAAATGAGCTTCGGTGAAATAGACTGTCGGTAAAATGAATTTGTCGATGAATAATTGTCTGTGAAATGTGGTGTCTATGAAGTGATTGTTGATGAAACAATACGGACCCATTGGGGGGTAATTAATCATAAATAAGCTTTAGAGATAAGTATTTTTGAATTGGCATTTTATATAAAAACCCCGGGCTAAGTTAAATGCTGAAGTTAAACCGATTGCTCTTTACAAACGGATTATTTTTGATTTTCCCACCCGAGAAAGAAGTTTGCCAAAGAGAATGGCAATGGAGCCGGCTTATGCTTAGTTTTTATTTAACTTTTTGATAACCAGTTTGATTTTCTTGAAGTTGTAAATTTTTTAATTGCTTTTCTAATTCATAGATTTCTAGTTGTTCGCCAAGAAGTTGATTTATTACTTCATCAGCCTTAGATGCTGGTAGACTACCTGCGACTTCTTCAACGCTTATTAGGTTCATATGAAAATTTTTTGCTTGATAAAAAAAACTAAGGATTTATAATTGTTGTGAAAATTTCTGAGAGCCTCTTAATTTTACTAATTAACTTTTGAGTAGGGGCGTTCGCTGGTGGATACATCGGCAACCGACGACCCAATTTATAAGTATTGTGAACGCTCCCACTGAGAAACTAACTAACTTTTTTGACTACAAAAGAAATATTTTTATATTATTCTCAAATCTCTGCTTCCTTGATATTTGCTTCGGTATCAGCTTTATATTTTTATTTTCAATGAATAAATCATCTTTATACTCACAGCAAACAATTTACCAACATGTTTATTTTACAATCTATTCGCATACAAGTTTATTTAATAGACAGTTTATTTTACCAGCAAGTTCATTTTGTAGTCAGTTTTTCACCATTCACGAAAATGTTTTTTTCTTATAAATTACATTAACCTTAGCTCTAATTCTAAACTAACCCTAAAAAAAGTCTACAAAATGAGCTTATAGGTAAAATAAACTGTCTATTATGTGAACTTGTCTGTGGATTTGCAGTGTCAGTGAAGTAAGCAAAACTGGAATGAGGGGTCCATATTGTTTCACCGACTATCACTTCATAGACACCACATTTCACAGACAATTATTCATCGGCAAGTTCATTTTACCAACAGTCTATCTCACCGAAGTTCATTTCACTGACAAGTTTTTTTTTTATAAATTACACTAGCTTTAACTCTAGTTCTAACCTAACTCTAATGATATTGACCAGAATTACTTTGTCTGTAAAATGAGCTTCGGTGAAATAAACTGTCAGTGAAATGAACTTTTCGATAAACAAGGGTTAGTGAAATGTGGTGTCTACGAAGTGATTGTCGGTGAGTTGATGGGATCCCGAAATGCTGGAATTGCGTAAAGGCAAAAATTATCTAACATTTTGTCTGCATGATAATATCATATGCTATACAAATATCTAATGCAAAAACTTAACTTTTGTTCTTGCATTTCATTTACATGATTTTTCTATTTAGCTTGGCAGACTTGTGACCCGCACTTTGGGGGCCGTCCTGGCCATATTATTTACAGTAAGTATGTAACAATGAATTTGGTAATACCAATGTAAAGACAATAGTAAATATGCAGAGTTTATAACCATCGTTATAAACTCTGCATATTTACCATTGTTTTCACAATGATTATAAACTCTGCATATTTACTATTGTCTTCATGATGGTTATAAACTCTGCATATTTACCATTGTCTTTATGATGGTTATAAACTTTGCATATTTCACAATGGTTATAAACTCTTCATATTTACTATTGTCTTCACGATGAAGACAATGATAAATATGCAGAGTTTATAACCATCGTAAAGACAATAGTAAATATAATATGCAAAGTTTATAAAATTCTGTAGTCAAAGCAGAAACTATCTTATACAGAACAATGGCTTGTTGCTTTTGAATTAGCATTTTTTGATTTTAAATTAGCACAATTAGAAAATTTTATGAATTCTTAATATAACTATTGTTTTAACAATACTAATATAAAGAATTTATAATATTTTACAATTATACTACTATAAAAGTTTATATACAAGACCCGGGTTTGTTTTATTCTGCCAATTATATACTCTTTAGTAGATCAGAGTCTAATTCATACCCAGAGGTTATATCATAAAAAGAAAAATTTAAAGCATTTGTTACAGTCTAGCTATTTAAAAAAACTTGCATTTTTTAATAAAGATTTTTATAGTTTGTAACCGGATTTAATTTATGATATATGAATTTTTATAGTAATAAACTTTATATATAACAATAGTTTTTATAATTTATATATTTTGTATTGTTTTTTTAAATAATAAAGTATTTTATATTAAAGTTTATTTAATTAATTTTATAATATCCACATTTATAAAAATTGTATAAAACTAAGATATAATTATACATAGTAATTTCAAATTTCAATATGGCTCATTTTCTTTTTAATAGTGTTTTTACTGAAACTCATCCAGAATTAGATTCGTTAAATACTAGTATTTTAGCTATACAAAATATCTATCAGTCTACATATTCAGGAGATATTGAAGAAGATAAAATTAATTTAATAGAAGAAGAGCAAGAAATTGATATTTTAGCAGATGAACAGTTAAACAATATTGAAAGTAATATTTTTTCTAAAACTCAAATTATCAATTTTTATAAAAAATATAATCAAAAAGTAGAAACTAAATTAATTGATAATGATTCTAAAAATAACAAAATACTAACACAACAAGATATTGAAGCATTTTGTCTTAAGTTTGATACTTTTAATTGCTGTTTAACTTGGAATTGTACTAAAAAAATTAATCGTGAAGTAGCTATAAAAAAATGGAAAAATGTTCAACTTTTATCAAAAGCTGAAAAAAATATGTTATTATTAGCTACACTTAATGCTTTAACTAGAAAAGAAAATACTACAGAATATGAAAAAGATAAAAAATATTTAACTAATGAATATAGATTTGATGGTGAAAAAATTTGTTTAAAAGCTTTTTTATTAATATATGATATAACTAATTGGAAATGGGAATCAATTCGTAAACATTTTCTTGAACATGATATTTTGCCAATATCTCATGGACTTAAAAATCAAAACAGTAATAACAAAATTTCTTTTAATAATATTTTACATATTTTAACTTTTATTTCAAATTATGCAAATATTCATGGACTTCCTTCTCCTGGTATAAAACTTAAATTTTTATAATTATTTATTAAATTAATATTAATATCAACTTTATTATTTTAGGTCGACATTTTGAAAAGGAAACAAAAATTATAATTTTTCTTCCAGCAACTGAAAGCTATTTAAGTTTATTTCGTTTATATAAGTCTTCAATTATTGAAAACTCTGATTATATAATTAGCTCAACTAGTTTTATCAATATTTGGAAATTATATCTTCCTGAAATTAAATTTCTTTCTCCTAGAAGTGATTTATGTATGAAATGTAAAACAATGCGATTTAATATTAGTCATATTCCTGAATCAAAATTAGAACAAACAATAAATGAATGGAAAATTCATAATGATTGGGCAAATTTAGAAAGAGAATATTATAGGTAAATTTTTTAATTTTTATTTTTAATTAAATTTTATATTTTAATCAATATTAATAATTTTAATTTTAATTTAATAGAAAATGTATTTTAAATACTAAACTTAGTATATCTAATATTTTTTCATTTTTACGACCTGGAATTTCTAATAGTATTGATATTACAAATCATATTTCTTGGGACTTTGCAGAAAGCATTCAATTACCTTATTCTTCACAACAAGAAGTAATTTTTAATATAATATTAATTGTTTTTTATTTATTATAATTTTAAAAATATTTTATATTTTTAAAGGGTGCTATATATTTTAAATCACTTTATAAAGTTGCAGTATTTGGAATATGTGAAGATGCTTTTCCTCGTCAGGTAATTATTTAAAATAAAAATATTATAGTATAATATAATTTTTAATTAATTAAAATATTTAATATTTAAGATTAATTATTTAATTGAAGAAAAAGAAATGGTTGGAAAAGGAGCAGACACTGTAATTTCATTAGTTCATAATTATTTTGAAAATCATGGGCTTGGAGAAAAACATATAATTATACATGCTGATAATTGTGCAGGACAAAATAAAAACAATGCAATAATTAAATATTTAACATGGAGAATAATGATGAAATTACATTCAACTATTACTTATTCATTTATGGTTGCTGGACATACTAAATTTTCCCCAGATGGATTTTTTGGGCTATTAAAATTAAAATTACGAAACTCTGAAGTTGATAATTTAGATGATTTAGTACAAGTTGTTAGAAATTCTACAACAAATAATTATAATATACCTCAATTAGTTGTAGAAAATAATCAACGCAAAGTAACTTTTTTTAATTGGACAGAATTTTTAAATAATTATTTTGATACAGTTCCTCAAATTTTAAAACAGCATCACTTTTATTTTAGTCAAGATAATATTGGACATGTTATTATTAAAT